TAATAATAATAATAAACATGTAAAAAATAAAAATTAAACCTGCTAAATAATGCAGAAAACTTAATAATTAATTTTTAATAACTTAAAAAATAATAACATTATTTTTAATAACATGAATAGAAAACTGCATTTATACGAATACATAATAATGATAATAATATTAATAATAATACATGCAAAAAATAAATAAATAATAATGCCTCCCAAATAATGCAGAAACAAACAAACTGGCAGGAACAACATGTTATAATAATAATAATAATAATAGATGTAAAACTAACAAAAGTGATTTTAAAAAGACATTTAAAAAAAAGCAAAAAATTCAACAAAATGTTTTTCAAAATAAACAAAGAACAAGGTGATCGATAATATTAATAATGATAATAATAATAATAATTATTATTATTATTATTATTAACAATAGCTGTAAAAACAATAAAATTGTTATTGAATGACCAAATGACCAAAACAAACCAGCAACAACAATTTTAAAATAAAAGCCAAAGAACATTTGCCACAATGACTGGTGATTTGCTCGTTATCCTCCTTACTACTTGACTAACTTTCAAATAATTAATAAATGAACATTAAATATTGATATAAATTGAAATTATTTCATTATATGATTAAATAAATGACCATGGAGTGATGCAGAAGACATGAAACAGGCACAATGTCAGAAATTGGTTGTCAGGAACAAGAGTCACTATACAAAAGCATCTGAACACAGAATGCAATGAAGCGCCAATCCAAAATCAAGTATTTGAGTAACCAGAATAAAGTGTGTGCAATGAATCAATGTAACTCCTACTGAATCTTTTGCTAGACAGTGAAAGTGCAAATGTACCAAACTCTCTGGTAAGTTTAGCTGGTAAAATAAATTCTGGCATTTAAAATGGCACAGTCCTAAAGAGAAGTCCAGAAGACCATTCCTCTGAGCCCAAATGACCTCACATGTGTATTTTCCTCTCTAACATTTTATTTTTATATTTAATAATCACATAAAAAAGCTTAGTGTGGTGAACCAGTCTTATGAGGTTACAGGGCCGGAGAATCTCAAAACGGCCTCTTTAATTCCATTCCTCACTCAGTGGGTCACGCTCAATTTTTCCCAATAGAATCGTGGCCAGCCAAATCACAGCTTCTCATCCTCCAAGACCGCTGCCAAATAATCACTAGGCCCCTTTAAAAGTGTTTATTTATTTGTTTGTGACGTTCTGGAGTTCAGAAGAACTATAATTCACTCTTGTTACAGATGCATACTGGAATAATACGCTGTTAAACTATTAAAGAAACTCCCATCACAACACACACAGGATTCTTTCTGTGGTTAAAATGTATCAAGGGTCTGAATGACAATAAAAAGCAGCTTCAGATTAGTGGGGACTAGGAAAAGAGGGAGAAGTCCTGCAAAGATTTTCCATTATCAAAAAGATTTACAACTTCAGTCTATCAGTAGAACAGAAGAGAGACAGAGTCAGATGGTGGACATGGTGAAAGAACTATTTAAAGATTGATGGAAAGAAAAAATGCTTACGGTCTTATAAAGCGGTTCCTTTATCCACACACAATAATGCATCAAAACACATTCATATATGGGTGCCACAGGCCACAGGGTGGGAGATGGGGGTGCAGCTGGCTCTCTCTCATTAGCCGAGTGTTTGGATCAGGAGTAGTTCTTGTTACAGCAGTAAACTGCAGCTTTGAACTTTTAATAGAGCTCTGAAATACAAGCAGCCTTTAAAATACACATTTCTGCATAACAGAGCAAGACTGAAAGAAAGACTGAGAGTACGAGGGTGAGAGAGACGCTGAAAGCACAAGGGAGAACTAAACGTACGAGAAACAGAAAGCTGAGAGCTTACTAAAAGAGATTTCATAGATCTTAAACCACTTGACTACTCTTAATAGCACTTCATTTCGCATCAGCGGTCTGCTCAGCAGTGGCCCTCGATAGCAAGCCCTGTGGGTCAGAACCAAAGGTGAGGCATTAACAAACCAGTTCTAACGAGGCACAACTGGATAAACAATCATATTTATCATGATTGACAGGTCGACATGATTGACGTGATACTGCGAAATACGCAACAGTATTACGTTTCTTTCAATTTACATACTGACAAGCAAAACAAGTGGTAAAAATAAAAGAATAAAAAGAGCATATTTCAAATCTCCAGCATGCTTATTCTGAAAAACCAAATAAAATAATTCCCCAGCTTTAGTATGAATCAAGCTGTTTCACTGTATAACAATTCTACAAACCCGTTTAGGGGTAAAAACCTATAAGTGAAACTTTTTTTTAAAAATGGGGAGGGAAATTCCTTTTTATAATGTGGTGTATAAACTGACGATATGTTAATAACTTCAACATGTACCCTTGTGAACAAATGTTATGTAGAACAATATAGGACTTTGATCTGAATTTGATATTCTAGGTAATATGTCTATCACAAAGTTTAATGTATATGTAAACTGTCATTCACATTTCTGAAGATGTAAACAAGAAACTTGAAAATTGAGATTTTGTGTATAAAATTTGACCAAATGACATGCAACACTGAAACGTGCATGAGTTTGTTTATTTGAGCTAATATGTATTTACAGGCCATAGGGAAAAAAAGCATGAGCTCCAAATGTTGTGAACTGCAAGCAGAACTTTTATTCAATTTATTTTTTAACTTATACACTGCTACAAATTATTTTTCAATGTGAAGTTTTAAAAGAAAATTTCAGTCTTGAAATGAGCATTTTTCCATGCAAATAGTAATGGCATTTACAAGCAAATTTCTGAGATTTATTACACAAGAAATTTAGAAAATTTTTACACCAATTTTATTTACTGTAGTCTCTAAATAAAAGTTTTTTTATTGCTTTATTTGTTTAAACTTATCTGTCTAAAACACTAAAACACAAAATATGCATCTTATGCATACCGCTAAAATGCTTTAGCTTAATTTGAAACTGTCCAAACAAGCAGAATTTTAGAGCCTCCCAATGTGACTGACATATCCGAATTAAACTGGAGCGCCACAGGCCTAACACATGGGAAAAGACACACAAATACACATACATTCATGCCCTCGGGCAGACTCAGCACCCCCTCTCCCCGCTGTAGTCTCTAATCATGTCCAGGAACACGAAAGACAAGTCAAAAAGCATTTTCCCAGAGTTCACAGCAAGCAGGCACTTTGGAGACCAACCACTGCCAATCAATGAGAGAGAGGTCAGGTGGACAGAGGTGTCGCATGACATCACAGACAGGTGGACTACGCAGGTAATCTCTGATGAAAATTTAATTACTGAAACTATTTCTTGGTGAATTTATGTAGCTTTGTAGTATTAAAAATGGGGGAAAGAGGCCAGTGTATCGCATTTAACACCAAAATAAATGCAATGCAATACAATAAAATAAATCTTAATGTTAAAATGTTAAAGTAATGTACCGTATTAAAATGTTAAAGCCCTTAAATAGATCAGATTCACTGCGGCTGACACAGAGGTCATTTCTTTTAACTCCATGTAGGCCACAGAGAGAGAGGGATAAAGAGTTCATGTTATTTTTCATTTCCTGGGAATTGGCCTTGTTTCCACAGCTCGACTGCTGCGCTTCCGTACGCAACTTATCGGATTGCTTATCGGTCCGTTTGAAGCGCTCAGTGTCTCCAAACCCCACTCCTACACCCACGATCCCAGCTTGAACATTCAATATTCCTTCCTTCAACAGAATGGCGGCGGTCCAGAGTCAGAGCCCACACGGCTAAGCAAATAAAAGAAGCCATTGCATGTATCTTGGCAAAGACACATCATCAGATAAACAGTTTCAAAAAGCTAACATAGAACTATGCGCAACCCGAGACAATATCAACAAATACGTCCTGCGCATTTTCAGAGCGAGATTAGACAGAGGACTTTACGGTTTAATACAAACAAACAGACGGGACTTCAGTGGCCATGCATGCATAGTATCTGCCTTTATTTCTTTCTAATATGTACAATAATAATCAGAATATAACAATAATAATATTCTATTCTTTTTGATGTCACATTAAAATATATTTAAAAAGCTTTTAATAATACAAACATTTATGAAATATCATATGTTTTCAATTAGTGTATTGGGATGAACTATGTTTTGAATTGGGTAAACTATTAAAGGTTGGCGTCTGATTTGGAAATCAGTAAATAAGTTTGGTTATAAAACAAACAAAACTTATAAGCAATTACAATGTTTTAAAATAGCATGTCTAATATTTACTTGATCCTTGAAAAAATACAAAATTAATAATGAAATAAATGTGTTAAGAGATACACTGCTATTTCTGCTATTAAGCACTGCTGTTTTCAATACTGTTATAACTAAAATTACTACAAAAATATTTAAGAATTTGTATACTAAACAGGTCAGCCTAAATATATTGACTTTATTTGTATTGTCCTGTTTATACCTAAATAATAATAGCAATAATAATAATTATTATTATTATTTTGCTATAAACAGGACAATATTATTATCGGTATGCATTCATTTTCCTATGGTAATATCACATACGAAGCCTTTGCTATTTACACATCTAAATTATAAATACTTCAAATATTTTAAATTAAAATAGTGCTTTGGAATTTACTAATTTGTACGTAACAAAATTAGGTCTACCTTATTTTCTGATAAAAATGTACTTGTTTTGTCAAACGATCTATGCAAAATGTGTCCGTCTATAAATACAGTCATGGCTTGCGGTCTTCAGCTCTTGAAACCAGTCTGTTGATCTGTGCTGCCCTCTGCTGGTCACTTCTCAAAAATAATTTGCTTTCAAACTCTGTAAGAGTAAAATGAAGCATATTTTAAACTATTTGAACGAGTCTAACTATCTGAAATGTACAGACTGAAATACGTTCTTGCTAAAACTTACCAACATTTCAGATATTGCTGTTGTGACGTACAGCACGCTGTGACTACAACAACAACAACATCATTTCCCGCCATGCACTGGACACGTTGCCATAGCGCCACGTTGGTTTACCAACAAACATGGCGCACAGCCCGTCTCGTGTCTTTGCTACAGTTTCACCGAATGCTGGTGATGTTTACCGAGACGAAAACGAATCGGTGTTTAAACGGGGACGCAAGCAAACACCTTTACACGCTCAAAGCAACGCAAGAGTGGTTCAGATGACGGGCTGTGCGGAGTTATCGTGTCCTCCGGACCGCGCCACCGTCACCATCAGCGTCAAAAACAGTAAAGAAAATGTTAACGACGTGACTAATAGCGTTACCCGAAGACTGGAGTACATACTACAGACTGTGAGACAGCATGATGTCAAGGTGCTAAATAATTAAAATTTGTGTATTCCCAAACAAAGAGAGAACAAGCAATTCTAATAGTTTCTTTCCAAACAGGAAGAAAACATCACTGTGGCCAAGCATTTACAAAGAGAGGAAGAGCTCTTCCACATGCAAGCTGAGGTATATAGTTAGTTGTTGCATGTGTCCCGTTTGACCTATTTTATAATACATTTACTCTTTAATTATCCATTTTGTCTGTGCAGGTGCTTGTGGTGTTTTCAGACTTTGAGAAGATGCAACAAGCACGCTCAGTTTTGATTGAAAAACTTGACAAAATCGTGTGTGTTGGTGACCCTTACTACAGTCACAGTGCGGAAAGTCTCAGTTTGTTAAGGTGAACAATGCTTGAACGATGTCGGCCATCATATAAACCTCCACTGTTAGCCTGAACATAGCTTTGTTATATAAAATTAATTAATAAGCCTGTTTGAAAGGATGTCTAAACATTTTTTGGTCTGTTCTGCAGACGGCGAGTATGTTTGGAAGCTGTGGACAACGCCCGGCTAAAAGCCAGCGAGGCGTGTTGCATTCTGGGACAAGCTCTGGGACGGCCGCTGCTTGTACGCGAGGAGGAATCACGAGAGTGGACCAGCGGCCAGCATGAAGTGACTGGCTCTCTTCTAACACTACACCAGAAGACTGGGGTTACATTAGTCTCTGCCTCTTCACACGTGTTTGTGACCTTTGAATTGCGTCCGAAGGAAAGCAACAGGAGGAAATTTTGAATATTTTGTGTCTGTTTAGCGGTAATAATGGTACATGTAATTCCTTTTATTTGCTGTTTTAACCTGTAAACACATAGTCCTGTAAAGTAAGCACCATAGAGGACCACCGATATTCACAAAAGGGCCTAAAAATAAAGTTGCCACTTGTTCCTACTGTTGTTTTAACTTAAAAAAAGTCTCCAAATTCCAGAATATATTGAATAGCACTGTGTGCAACTCAAAAGATAATGCTAACATTTGTTTCAAACATTGATAGAAAACAACGTTAAATTCGGAAAGAAAGTGTAATTAAATAGTTAAGATGAGCCTGTGTTTGAATAGAGAATACATGTATATTGATGCATGAATGTGCCTTGCATACATAATGGATGACATAATTGTTTGTTTCTACAACAGCATATGTCTAGACAGGTGCTAGACAACTAGAAAGATCTTATTCACTGCCTCTAACATGATTTGTCTCTAAACTTAAACTTGCACTGGATGTAGGGGAAAATGTACAATAGTGTGAAATATGCTACTTGTTTCTGTGATGCTACACCCATTTTTATATTCTCTTACACTTGCTTTGTCAGATGATCTATCTTGACACTAAACAGGCCATTCATATACCCTGCTCTGCCTCATTTAAAATATAAAGGTGAGTGTTTACCACCTGCCCTGGTAATAGATGTCAATTCTTGCATGACCTAAGCAGATTAATTTAGGCTTTGTGAAAATCCATTAGGAGGAAAATCTAGGAAAACACTGTAGGGTTTGACGCAGCAGCTACTTTTGTAGATAGACAAGGAAATAAACTAAAAGCAAAGAGGACTGTATAAACAGAACAGCCTGATGATCATCAACAACTAGAGGGGACATGAGATACAGACTGTATCATACAGTCAGGTCTTAGGTCTGATTTAAATTAAATTAAGAAACGTGGTGTCAAAGTGGATGTCTAAGTAACTTGATTAATTTAGCCTAAAAGACAGCAAGCAGGCAATAAATAAACCATTAAAAAACACAATGGGTGGGAAAAGACCACAAACATGAGCACAAAACAATAATGATTACAAGCATCTCTAGACAGACGATATTGGGTAGTGAGAAAAAAAATCAAAGACTGAAAATCATAAAGAGAAAACGGGGTTTAAAACACAACATAAGCCACACGCAAACTGTCAAAAGAATCAAATGTAAAAAAGCCCAAGGATGCCTACAAGTATGCAGTTTCTGCACCGCTACTGTCATCTGGTGGAACTACAAAAATAACGGCATGTTTTCAAACAACCTTTCCAAACGCCACTTTCACGTGTCACGCCGTCCCTAACTTAAACATCACAAACACAGCTCTTACATGTGTTTAAAAGCGAAGGTATGTGTCAACAGGTATAAGTAGGCAGCTACTTTCAATAAAAGGTCCAACATATTCATTAGGAATACTTAAGTTTAGCTTACCTGTCGCAATATATTCTGTAAATTCGTCCTGTGGCAAACACTCCATCAAATTCCTCCATCTTGTAAAACCACTGCCAGTGTTTACACTTGTTTTACCGCGTTTACTTGTTATCTGCCAACGTGTATTTTAGTAAGTTTCCGAAATTTGCTTGCACTTCTACAACCTAATCCAAAGTTTTGTCGCAAATGTCACTCTATAACAGACTGAACACCCTCCGGCTCAGCCTACAACTGTAGCCACGCCCCGAACTCCCGCTATTGGCTGTGCCGAGATACATAGGTTGACAGGCAGGTAGGACATCCTATCATCGGACGAACATTTTATGGCGAGATCTCCACAAAAGCAAAGCTAAATATTGACAAACAACTATCTGCTGTTAATAAACAGTTTGAAAACAATAACCATAAGTACTACCATAACGGCATGTTTTCAAACAACCTTTCCAAACGCCCCTTTCACGTGTCACGCCGTCCCTAACTTAAACATCACAAACACAGCTCTTACATGTGTTTAAAAGCGAAGGTATGTGTCAACAGGTATAAGTAGGCAGCTACTTTCAATAAACGGTCCAACATATTAATTAGGAATACTTAAATTTAGTTTACCTGTCAAAATATATTCTGTAAATTCGTCCTGTGGCAAACACTCCATCAAATTCCTCCATCTTGTAAAACCACTGCCAGTGTTTACACTTGTTTTACCGCGTTTACTTGTTATCTGCCAACGTGTATTTTAGTAAGTTTCCGAAATTTGCTTGCACTTCTACAACCTAATCCAAAGTTTTGTCGCAAATGTCACTCTATAACAGACTGAACACCCTCCGGCTCAGCCTACAACTGTAGCCACGCCCCGAACTCCCGCTATTGGCTGTGCCGAGATACATAGGTTGACAGGCAGGTAGGACATCCTATCATCGGACGAACATTTTATGGCGAGATCTCCACAAAAGCAAAGCTAAATATTGACAAACAACTATCTGCTGTTAATAAACAGTTTGAAAACAATAACCATAAGTACTACCACACTAGTTTCATGACTGCTATTTCTGGTCCATCACTCCAAAAACCCAATGCTTGAATGAAAATGGAAAAAAAAAACAGTCACATACCTGTCCTGCACCTGCCGAACACGTGATGCTGGCATGCGACATACCCAGATTTCATGTTCCTGCAATAAGTTAACTTTATCATTTTTATCATTCACTTTAGTTCCCAAACTCGTCGTTAATGTGGCTAAAACATGTATGTTTTTTTAATTACTATTACTAAGATGTGTTTTTAGAGGAGGGTGGTACCCAAAGCACTATGGGAATGGCACACAGACGGATGGCTTTTAAGAAGGAAAGACACACCATTTCGAGCAGGCCCATTTTTAAATAAATTAGGCTTTAATAAGAAATCATTTTTGTATTAATGGATTTACTTTGAACACTGTTTACCACATTCTCAATACTGTTTTAAACAACAAATCCTTCTGTTTTTCTCTTAACTGAAAGTTAAGTTAATTCGGCAGCCATATCACCCTGTAGCCCAAGACTGGTTGCCCACTGAAGCTAAGCAGGGCTGAGCAATGAGTGCCTAGAAAAGCGCTATATAAATGTAATGAATTATTATTATTATTATTATTATTATTAATTCATTTTCTGGAACACATCTGAGTCAGATCAACATGTGTGGATTTTGATCTAATTGCATATTATAAAACATTTAATTTCATCTATAATTGATTTTTAACATCACAGTCATTTTCCTCACAACTTTATATCCTTTGCAAAGTGTGCAAGACATTTTAAATTATTCAAAAAATATAAAAGTGATATTAAATACAGCATTTTGTGTTTTTTAGTTCTGCACTGAGAAAGCTACTTAACATATATTTACATATATTCCACAAGACTAAGTTTAATAACTGAAATTACTCAGTCTATATTTATATGGGGTATGTAAACAAGATATCTCTCTCAAATTGTCTTGCTTCCTTTTGTCTTTGTGTTTTTCAATTGCTTTAAAAGAATCAATACTGTCAATGAAGGGTAGCAGACATCATGTCTGTGTTCTCAAGCATTTCAAAGTGTTTTTAAAACCTCTCAGGTTTACACTCCTTCAGTCGTCAGGATAGATTTCTTGCAACCATTCCTCCATCACAAACTTTTCCCCATCGAAGTGTGAAAATCGCGCCGCGTAAACATAAAACCATGTCTGCATTTGTGATTGGAGAAATGACAAACAACAAGTGCTACTCTACTCTGCTCAAAACTTGCGTTTGAATCATCAGTGGGAAATCCTTTAAATATAAAAACGTTCTTACAGACTGTGAGTCAGAACTGCCGGCATTGTAGTCTACTCTACCAGGATCAGGAAACAGTCCTCCATAAAATGTGCTGCACACATCTGAATATTTGGGTTGAACTGTTCTGGAACAGTGTTGTAAATACAACTTAACCACTGATTTCTAGTCGTGTCCTCTTTTGGAAGGCCAAACAAAGTATTTTCACTTTCGCAACGAAACACACATTGTCTTCAAAACATGGTGGCGGCGGTGGCAGCAACAATAAAGTTACGCCTTCTTTCTTTGCGTGAACATTTGGGCTGCGTTATGCAAAACTTCCCACATCGTGACGTAGACATGTGGGGGCGTGTTTAAACGAGGCGTTTTAGGAGGGCGTGGACCAG